GCAACTCGTGTTCTAATATTTATACTTCAGTTTAATCTCCGTGTCCAGTACTGTAATGTTTTCTCCAAGAATAGACGGGGAAATTTCACTTCCGAAATCTCTGGTCAAACGGGATATAGATCGAGTCCATGGATCGAGTTGGTAAAATTCGAACATCAACGACGTCATCTGAGCATAACTGCAGCAAGTGAGGCCAAAATCTAAATAGGAAAGTGCCGATGTAAATATTTAGCAGCCCCTGTCGTTTTGAGTAGCTGTTTCGCATCGTCAGCTCAATATACAGGATTCGTCTTACGGATAATACACGAGGATCGAAACTTTAGAAATTAACCTGATATGGAAAGACGAATCAAGCACAAGTAGTGTCACATACCTCAATAATGATTAATTTTTATAAAGAAAATTGCTTTGTATGATCGTGTTTCCAATAGTAAGTTAGTAACACTTTTGACAAAGTGCCATGGATTTCTATAATTTGCCCTTCTACCTAACTCGGCGGCGAACGATTCGATAAGAAAGGGGACCCCGGGACCTGTGAGCCCAGATCTTAAAAGGTTGAGTACCTTTGCAGAAGGACAGTAAATCTCGCCAAATTCTTAATAGGACGAGAAATAGCATTAATATGCTTTAATACACAGGCTTCCTGTAGGCCTGTTACAGAATCTGTTTTTTGGTACCATAATGCATTTGTGAGAAAATGTTGAAACACGTTTTATATTCATCGTTTTGTATGGTTAACCTTGTTATCATGTTGCGCCATTAAAACAAATTAAAGGCAAAAATTACAAAATGTGCAAGATTCAGATGTGTTTCATATTTGCCTGTTTGCACAAATTATGGAATGATAGCATGAGATCTTATTTGTACATCTGCATGATTAACTCCGAAACTATGTGACGAATTTTTATAAAATTTGGTATCGGAGGTCAAAATTAAAAGTTTGCTCGCGCTATATACAGGCCACAGAAATTTTATTGCAAAAAAAACCAATTTGGAATCCGTGACATATCTAATGAGAGACTTTGAACAAACACAACCTGACTTTATCGAAACAATTCTTCTAACTAGAGAGGAAACTATAAAATGTAGCCCAACGTGTGCTGGACAGTGTGCATACGAAAAATATATTATTCAAGTGGGATTTTCACACATTATTATGAAAAGGAATGATGATTGGGCCTATAGTTTCTTGAGAACAAAGAAGTGCTTATTCACAAAGGTCATTAAATCATCCTCTCACTTCTAAACCAGTGGTTTTAGTGAAATGGAAAGCACCTTTGCGGTGTAAAGCTTGTTTCGGATAGGGGAGAAAGTGGACAACCTTGGACAGAGGTCCGTTACTTTGTTCGTGCCTTATCTATAATTAGGAGGGGTTCTCAACCCATATGTTTATACTACTGTCACTCTGTATATATATATATAAATAAATGTTACGACTTAATAAACATTTCATTTCAGGCAAGTAATTAAAACAATAAATCAACATATATAAATTAAAGATGATGAGTGATACGTGAACCAGTTGGCAAAAACAAACAGAATTGTTAATAAATTGTCATGGTGTCCAATAAAAGATCTGATCTTTGTAATTTGGCGGTCCGGGAGTCGATAAAGAGTAAATGGAGTCCCAGGTTTCAAAGGTTAAGACGCCTAATCCTAGAGCATTAATAATATATTAGTGACCATGGAAACAATAAATGTGAAAACAGAAAGCTACTAAAACTGCCAAACTTTACATAAGTATCCCATTTAAAAATTAAAATACATAAAACTAGTGGCTTATTTTTCACAACGAAATTATTACTGTCTGCAGACTACTTATGCCTATGCATTTTGGTGTAATCTGAATCTGTATAGGCGTACACTTTATCCTTTCTTATTTTTCTGCATCATCATCATTTATTATGTTGCTTATTTATTAAGTCTCCATTCTTGTTTATATCCACTAAAGTATGTTATTTCTCCTTTTACAAGACATCAGAGCTCTATTTTCAGCAACATTTCTTTATAGTAAAACTGAATTTCCTTTTGGGGTGTCCTTATTGCTGTAAATAAAAAAGTGTTAAATTGCCTTCGATTTCAGACCAAAACAGCCGCTGGTCTGCAACCTCACAGTGTCCGGAGAGAATCCCATCACATGGGGACACGTTCTGGACGTTGGGCGGAAGCACCTGTACGAGAACCCACTGAGCGACGCCATTTGGTTTCCTGACGGAAGTATCAAGAGTTCGTGGCTCTTGCACACCCTCTGCGTCATTTTCTTTCACTTCCTACCTGCGTATTTAATAGATTTCGTCGTCACTCTCTTTGGAAAGAAACCGTTGTAAGTAGCACGTGTCCCGTACCAGATGCACGGTATTTGTCTCCATTGGTAGGATCCGAAAGTAGCGAATGAGTGGTAGCATTTGTACCTCATATTCGAAATTATCACGTTCTTATGTTTCTCTATCCCTCTGGCTCTATTCAGGCGCTCCAAATACGATGACGTGGTTGGCATACCTATAAAGTAGGCCACGACAGCCTCTTTCAACATAATTTCCAACTCACCATTTACAGTCAACCTACTTTTAGAAGACATAACCCAAGTAGTCAATTAGCCCAAGAATCAAGCAAATGTTTTATACTAAGGCATTACAATACCTCAAGCAGTTAGACGCCGGTATCTCACCGCTGAGGCCCGGACATTGGAGCTATATATTTACGTACCATGCCAGTTACGACTATTAAAGTGCTTCACACACACCCATCACCATATACGACGTGTGGGCTAAGTCCGATCGGCTAGAACATCACAGCCTCTGCCTTTAGCAAGTGCTTCGAAAAAAATGCAGCGATGAACCGAATCAACTTTGGTTACAAATTTGTAATCTATGTACAAGAATAAAAATCGACTGAAAGAACAAATGTCAATGACGAGTATCTCGGCCAAATTCTCCAGCATAATTTCAGTAGGCAAAAATGAATCAACTGTCAGAATCCTTTACCTAATTCATAACTGAACATCAAACTAATCCTCTGGAGTTAAAACGAACGTACAGTGCCACAAACACAAATACCTCCACTGGATCTGATCCTAAGCCAGTAAAATCTTATCATGAAGATTTCTATCTTCTGGGTTGTTGCGCTGTGTAGTCTGGTCGATGTTAACCAACGTTTCAGAAGTCATACTGCCTCCATCATCAGAGTATGAAGATTTCTGTCTTCTGGGTTGTTGCGCTGTGTAGTCTGGTCGATGTTAACCAACGTTTCAGAGGTCATACTGCCTCCATCATCAGGTAAACATCTACCATACTACACAGCGCAACAACCCAGAAGACAGAAATCTTCATACTCACTGCTGTGAAAACCTCAAATCTTACAAATCTTATCACCTTACTCAGCTTTCACAAATTATTCCTGTTCCGAGTCAGAGTAAATTCTGAAACAATCTTTATGTGTATTGTAGGTCAGTCAGTTCGGCCGAATAGTACACGAGGGCGTGGGCTATGATTGTCAGAGTCTGGACAGGGAATCGTGGCGGGATTTTGCGAACACGACGGTTAATGTTCGGGTTCTGTAAAGAGCGACTATTATCTTATTAAGAAGGTCTCGGTTGTGCCTACATGTTGTAACGGATCACGTAATGTTTTGTGCAGCATGGTGAAGATCCAGCGTCGTATCCAGGGGGGTCTCGATGTGCTACAGTACTACACCACCAAGGAGTGGGTGTTCAGGAATGACGTCTACAAGTCTCTGTCTGAAAGTATGACGGAAAGAGACAGGGAAACATTTTACACGGATGTCAAGATGGTGAACTGGGATGGCTACATCAAGCAATTTGTGCTGGGGACCAGACATTACTGCCTCAAGGAAGACCCTGCCACGCTGCCTGAGGCAAGGAGGCGTATCAAATGGTGAGCACTCCCACATCAAAACATAGACTGCTCCAAAGAAACGCGTAGTTCAGTAATATTTTTTTCCAGAACTTGTTTATTTTATTAATATGACAGAATAAACAATTCCAGGAACCGGTCGGAAATATCAGTATAAATAAGTGGTCACAGTAGTTTTTTGGCCGGTGAAATATTCAAGGAAAAGGCTAGGAGCGAGTCACTTGTGGGATATTATGTTTTGTCTGCCTCCAAGAAGGCCGAAAAACTTATCGGACTGAACGCCCGAACAAAACAAATCCACTGACCTTGCCACCTCAAGTGTACAGAGTAGGTCCGTTCGCCAGCTCCTCGACCGGCCACAAACTACTGCGCCAGTAAATACCCTGCAGACAACTCCTTCTCGTTAATATGTTTGTTTTCAACAGCTACTTCTTGTAACTTGTTCAGCAAGGTCTTTACTTTTTAGTTGTAGGATAATACAAGTTGTCCTTGGCGATGTGACGCCGTCCAGACTTGTAGGTAAATACCAACTTTCCGGATAAACATAGCGTCTCCATCTTCAGGGCTGAAGTGACCGTTGTGGGAAGTGCACAGAGGAAGAGCACTGCAAATAATATGTTTATCAGAAACACTGCTATTTACCTACGAGTCTACTCGGCCTTACAACCCGGAAGAACAACAGCGTTATCTTCACTACCGGTTATTATTATTATTTAGTGTTCTGTCTTACGACAGGTCCATTGCTCTGCCCAAAAAGAGCTCTCCAGTTTTCCCTATTCTCGGCTTCTCGTTTTAATTCCTGGAACGTCATCTTCTTTCCTTGTTTGACCCCCAAATGCCACAAGTTGACCTTGCTGCTGAGTGACTATAACGACAACAACGGACAGGCATCCACTTTGCCATGCGTATCACGAAAGAAATACCCAAAGAACCTATTACCAATAGTCTCCGTGTGGTGATTCGCAACGTATTCGGAGAATTCCTGTTCGAATCTGGGTCCAGCAACCTGATAATCTTATTGAGTTGTTTCGTGGCTTTCATCGGATATTTCAGGAAAATGCCAGAAACGCAATTTAAAAAGTGTTACTCACTTTTCATCATTCTTAAGCATCCAATCATCTCTTCCGCCTCTATACAATGTCGGCATGTTATACAGCATTGTGAGGAAACACATTTCCTTTGCTGGACGTCTAGATGTAGGTATTCGTGTCTTCCAACATTCGAACTATGACGCAGAAATCAAGTGATGGATCACTTTCGTGCAGGTATAATACCTCAAAACAGACCAAAGCTGCTGCTTCTTTTCAGATTCTTTAGAATGTATCATTCACAACCATTCCATTCGATCTATGAAGTTGAATGAACGTAATTAAATAGCTCAGGAATAATTCGGTCTTCTTCGCTTTTGTTACAGGTTGTACTGGATGGATCGAACTGTTGGTGCCATTTTCTATATGCTGATTTTATGGATGTTGCTATCTTGGTCTGATCATATCATCGCATGGGGTCGTCTTACGATACGGTCCGTGCCTCAGATGTTCAGCATGATACCTATCCTCCGTACCCTTTCAGGGACGGTGGGGCCAGATGCTGGAACGCTACACTGAGTGGTGTCTTTGTGGCCGGCTTGCATCACAACAGAATCAACAAGATGCCACCATACTGCAGCAAGTTAACAAATACTAACAAATGTGCTTCAATTCTTGTATTAAACTCTGGGCATGTTGCAGTCTTGCATTCACTGATTCTAAATCTATGGGAAAAATGCTGGACAGACACCCGAAGTGGAATTGCCTAAGAGAATAAACTATTTTATTTCAATGCTATGGCAATCGTATGTGCATGGCGTATTGAATATGTAAGCCTACTTAGTTTGTCGACACTGACTGGCTATTAATATGAACATTTCCTCAGAATTTGCAATTACAGTACAGCACAGTGCCTGGAACACACAAATACCAAGTCACATCTGTGTGTGTCTTTTAAAATTGGTAACTGCCATTTTGTGATTACGACTGGAGAAATTAGAGCCCTAAATGCGCGAGGTATTCGTCATACTTTGACAACTGAGGTAAATATCATATTTATATCTCTCAAAAATTAAAATTGTTTCAGTTTATGTACATGAATCACGAGGAAATAGATATCAGAGTTATTAAAATGCGACTAACCATCTGTTGAAAAGCTAGAAAAATGATTTCGGTTAATGTTTACATTTCGTTCAGGCAGAAAATTTCTTCACCTCAGGATTTGCAGGTTCTGCGAGTAGTATGAAACACAAATATTCATAACTTAATATCAATATAGAAATAAGGCACCGAAAGTAAGATTATTCTTACAGATATGTCATTTTCATCATGAAAAGTGTAAATTTAATGGTACTATTTAATTCTACCAACAGTTGTAAAATCTTGTTTGTTGAGTAGAGATACAGGTTGCGGAGAACAAAATAAACAGATAAAACTCAATAATGATTCATAACTTTTGTAAAATACTTGGTTCCTTTGAATGAAATCCAGATAGAACTCTTGTATTTCCCTAACAACGTATAATAGTTCAATTATTTAAAGTATTCTCTATGAACTTTTTTATTTAGAACACCATTTAATAACGGATGCAATAAGTAAATAAACATAATGCATGTTTTACTTAAATAATCTCGTATTTTTGTACGAGCGTGCTACTTAATTTTTATTCTACATATATATTTTCTTACAGACTTTAATCATAAAATGAAAGTTTATAACAAAGAAATCAATATTTAAGCCAGTAACACATGCAATTTGTGAATCCGAGCCAAATTATAGCTCAGTTTAATTATTTGTCAGAACATCCTCCCCCACAATTAAATCCTGGATACACTAAACGATAAAACCCACAGGAGAAAGAAACAGCGAAGTACAGTTTACTTCCAGAGAGGGATAACTCAATCACGCCATAATCGTTTGATTTATGACTTTCTTTTTTGTGGCCTTCATCTGTGTAAAAACAGAATATATGCATGTCTATCAATTGTTCATTATGCAAAAACGAGAAAAGAAAATAATGCCACAAGAAGGTCACGACTATCGACAAGAAAAATAAACTGATGTCGTAGAAAGTAGCTTATAACAAAATTAATACGACGAGTTTGGACTCCGATAAAAATGAACAAAGAAAATAAAATTCATTTATCCAGCACCAGATGTAACCACGGATCTCTCAAACGTCGGTAAGCTTTTACCAGAATACGTGTGTCCCAAAAAGATGTACACACATAATAAGGAATATTATCCTAGTCAGTCAGCTGTTCTCCGCTGTCAACTGTGCCACTAGGATAACGGTAGTCATTTTGAACACCTTCACTTAGTCCCAATGGTTTAGTTTATTAAATTATCTTTATTTCTTTTTGAGACACTGTAATTGGCGTAATAACTCACAAGACAGTCTCGTCTTCAAAGCATAATCTGTTCACTTCCTAAAACCGGTCCTTTGGTATTATGGAGGCCTTGTACCATTCGCATGTGTAGTTTCTACAGCCATGAATCGATAAAAAGTAAATGTCCTTGTATTTTGTTAAATATGTACCATAAAAACGTCTCTTATTTATCGATCGTAATGGTACCTTTATGATGTGCCATATACATACTCATGTGAAAAATAAAATCTTTGTTAAGCTTCATGAAAATTATACGGAACAATATTAAATTCGCCAAACAGTTTTTAATGTACATATTTGTACAACAGCAGTAAATCGAAATTCGTTGATTAATTTCAGAGATAAAATATACGGACGGACGGACAAGGAAGATGTTACATTTCCTTTATGAATTCAATTCAGGCACCTGCGGAAAAGTGGATTTCTGTGGGTCTTCCTCCGATTTCTGTAAGCCATGATTTTATCGTCAACGAAGAGAAATTTTTAAGAACGTTTCACTCAACTGAACACCCATATATATGTTCAAAAGTTTCAGCGGAATAAGAGTTCGAAATAATTCGTTTAATGTAGGACATGTTCTTGGAATTGAACAGAGAAATTTAGTTTCACAAAAAAGCATGATGTCCACCTATAGCTAAAGCTTCACATTACTTGCTGCGACTTACATGTGAAATGTCAGAAGATCCAAGAAGTGAATGGTTGATATTTTAGCTTGGAAGACAGTAGAGACATCTTCCTTGTGGCCGTAAGAGAATGTAAATAATTGATTTCACTGCGTCAAACAATTGACACAGGCCCAAGCCTGATCTCTCTTTGTTTTCTCTTCCAACAATAGACGTACATAACATTCTAGGAAAAAATGACTGCAAACATAAGTAACTTTTTATAAATGTTTGAACAAAGACCAACAACTCAACGTTCAAATGTCAAAAGCGTGTGAAGAATCAACACCTAAGGAATACGCTTTCGCACTGAAGTAGGTTCATTAAAACAGACGAATAATATTGGATAAGTATGCAAATGCAACAAGAATTTCGACGAAGAACCTATCACCCTCACGTTAATGTCAATGCTTATATCAGTATAAGGAAGTTGACAGGAATTGCATCTTAAGTGTATAATAATTACACAGCTCAGGCGACTAGACAACTACAAAATCCCCAAACCTAACTTGACATAATTCATAGGCGAAACACACATCTCTGAGTTTGATTACAGCACTACTCAGATACAGGAGTTACCATCTACTAAAATGCTACACAGGGCCTTGAACAGGGTCGAGGAGTGGTTTAGGTAATTACCATTCGGTATATATATTCATGAAGGACGCGAATTATCTGACTAGCTGAACGACTATTAGCTTTTCAAGAAATCTCTAGACCACGAAAAAGATGGCTCACTATGGCTACACAGCATCTGAACAAGCCGAGCTTATACTCAGGATCTGAAACATGGGTTTCGAGAAGAAGAATTGAAACTTACCACGTGAGATTTCTCAAATCACTAACTTTGGATCGAAATGGAAATGGGCGTGCAGTAGGAGATAATTCCCTACAAGAGGCTCTCCTTTTAACGCCTGCCATTATTCTAATGATTTGCTTTTGAATGCAAAATACTTTTTTGCTGTCCATTGAATTTCCCAAGAAAACGATTCCATATGACATGATGCAAAGGATGTAAGCAAAATAAACTAATTTTAAAGTTTCCGTTTTCATGAGTGCTGCAACTGCCCCCATAGCAAAAAATACTGAGCTTGGTTTAGGGATAATGTATTACATGTGTTTCCCAGTTTAATTTGTTG